TATGTGGCGGTACACCAGGGCATTAAAGCAAGTACCTCTACCTTTTAACTGCAGGCGGCACCAAATAGAGTCGGGTAAAGCAGGAGTCTGAATTCTTCACGGCTTCGCACTGTAAGTCACTTCGGTAATAAAGAATTACCACCCCTTCTTTCGTAAGTCTATCGTTCCGGATCAGCGACATGTCCGGTAACCAACAGCGTCCGTCATTCTAGTGTGCATCCACGTCTTTAGTAATACCGATGATATCATTTGACTCGGAAGCTTGGCGATCATTCAGTTCCGCCAGTATATTGCAAAGACCCTGAGCATTCGTATAGAAGCAAGCTGGTTTCGCGGACTCTAGGAGCTTACCGAGGGCTAAAGGGGTCAAGTGTGGGTGAATGCCGACCGATAGGAGTTTAGCAGTTACTCCTTTTTTATGGGATAATGATACCTCGTCAGTAATTGATTCGGTCAAGGTGCGTCCAAGTCTTCCTTTAGACTTAGGTCAGAGTGGAGTGCAGGAGCAGTCAAGCTCCTGTATCATCGCCAGTACGCAAGCCATTGGTTTCAAACGCGCAATCACAGGTGACATGAATTTCGGTACTAGTTACTGTAGGATTAATTATGACGCGTTTCCACGGGGGCTTTTCATGCCAAACTACCTGTGTGTTTCCTCCGTTGAAATCCTGCTCCCATCCTCGGCTGTCAATTCCGTTCCGTGTTCATACTCACTCATCAGGCCCACGTGCACTCTGATATTTTGCCTCATTACTTCAAGTGTTTCAATTATCTATACGTTTAACCGGGTGTGAATGTACCACACGCTCGTAATGTTTGACACCAACCATCGCATTGCCGGTGAGCATACATGTATCCATTATCTATCTGCCAACGCAATACTGATGTAGCTGAGAGTATAGCTCATAATTGTTACATTAGGGACTGTAGGTTGTAATCTTGATAATTAATGCGATTGTGATTGATGGTGATTGCTTGACACCCTATGAATGTTCCCACGATGTGAATGCATTGAGAGAACGACAGTTTGGTGTGTCAAATGTAACGACCATTAGCCACAATCATGTTGATATTTCTAGGTATGATGGCTAAGTTCGAGACAGGTTAGCGTGTATATGTGTGTATAAGTTCGCCCACACACTCACAGTAACTGCGCGAAAACCCATAAAGAGAATGGGGACTACTGAGTCATCGGCGATCTATTACATCAGCTACGGTCCCGGTGATTGAATTGGCTGAAGTTTTCTTCAGTGAGAATCGCGATTCAACTGATATTGCGCACGGAAATCCATTTACGTACTAGGCGCTTCACAGTGACGTTCCAAAGCTAGATAACATTTGTTTAAGAAATAATAAAACATACCATTCGGCAGTCTGATTTTTCAATAGTCACATAGCTGTACAAGTTTATGCATGAAGGCACCGGCGCATAAGGTACGCTAATGCCGATGCGGAGACCGGATGGGAAACTTTGTCTCCGCCTTTGATCAAGATGATCGAGGTTCACTATCAAGAAAAGGGGTTGCAATGACAACCGCTGCTTCAACAATTCGGTAGAATTAGCTCGACTATAATTTAATCTGAACATGGTCCAATCGCCTTACTCCTCATTTCTTGCTAGTAAATTGCTAATTTTCTGCTTGCAATATAAGGTGTACAATTCGGTTTGCAAAAGGTCTAACTTCTGCGAAACGTCCAAAGTAGTTTGCAAAACGTCCAAAGTGATTTGCAAAAAGTCCGATGTGTTTTGCAAGACGTCCATTTGGTCTTGCTATAAGTCCAATTTGCTTTGCAAAACCAAACTAGTCTGCAAAACGTCAAGTTTGATTTACAAAACGTCGAAAGTGGTATGCAAAATGTCCTATTTATAGTGAAAATGGTATCTATATGGGCCCGGATCGCCTAGGCTAGGCATTCTCAACATTTATTCCACCTTGGCCCCCTTTTGAACCTTCCCATTTATTATGGCCCCCCATCCTTGGTCACCACAATTTAAGCAATCTGCAACGCCTAATAGACGCAAATCTGTGATTCCCAGTGGTCATATTGATATCTGTTTTATGGTGTCTGAATTTTTAATGTTGGTATCACTGCTCTTTCCCTCATAAACCCCATTTTTTAACGTTCACAGCCTCAACATAGCACTCATTGTGCGGCAATATGAAATCATTTGGCTGTAATTACACAAAGCCCATCAGTAATATTTAAAATTGTATTTGCTTATTGTTGGCTTCTAACTGTAAGGCATGTCTTGAATTAGGAGGTGTAGTAACTTCGTAACAATATGTTTGTCGAGATACAGAGTGGCGCACAAAATGTCATACCACTTGTTTTGTTGAGTACACATGTAATATTATAGGTTTAGGGTTGAAAACATGTATTCATATACTTTAATTTATGTAAAATCCGGTAGATGTCACGAGAAGTTAGTATGGCATATTTTCTTGGCGCCAAACACCATTTTCAAGATGGCGCATAACAACAGACTGAGTGTTGAACAGAAGGTGTAAAAGGATCGATAGTAGGATATGTTGGAAAACAGATTTATTCTAGAACTCTTGGCAACAGGTCTCCCATTACAAACTCAATGGTTCATGCAAGACGGAGCCCGCCCACACACTGCAAATGTTGTTCTTGATTACCTGTATGACATGTTTGATGGGCGGGTAATGTCACATCGGTTTCCTGAGCGTCACCAAGGTGGGAGACAGTGGCCCCCGCATAGCCCTGACGTCAATCCATGTGAGTTCTTCTTCTGGGGCTACTTGAAAGATAATGTCTTCGCAAGGAAGCCTGCAAGTGCAGCTTAACTCAGGGCTCTCATCATGCAGTTGTGCCGTCTAATCGGAAGACTTTTGCAGGAAGGTTGTGACAAATGTAAAGGTTCGCTTGCAAGAGGTTGTGAAACAAAATGGTGATCACATTGTACACTTACTACATTGAACTAAATTTCCATTCTCATACAATTACTTCTGCACTAATTTTGTAATATTTTGATGATCAACACATGTGTAATGAACAAAATAATTGTTATGGCATTTCATGCGCCACCCTGTATTAATGCGAGCCTTGAGCCTGATGCCCTTGAGCAAGTTTGTTTAGGTCCGGCTTCAGACTTGACAGAAAGAGTCGAACATCTTCTGTTGCTGTGATATCCAACATGTTTCCACTTGTTGTTAAAGAAACCAGTTTGCTGAATCCACATTCAATCATGTATGTGGATGGAAAAGTAAAGAAATGTATTTCAGCTATTTCCCACAGTCTGAGATATCAGTCTATCCAAAAATCCCTTTTATATAGCGTGTTTTGGCAAAGTAAACACATAGGTAGATTAGGGTTTTGAAGTGATATGATAAATCCAAGTGACAGATATTCTACGGAATACTACCGACAATCTTTGCCGTGGAGCTCATTTCTGAACTATGTCATTGTACTTTGTTATTATATATATATACTGCTTTTAACTCTTTCTTTTTTTTTTCTTACACATTAATATCATGGGCATAAAATAACATCATTCCGCAAGGCGAAACACGCAGGTAGAATGAATAGTTGGTGGCATTAATTTGCTTCTTGCTTGTCCGTGATATTATAAGAAAAGACGTTTGGCAACCGCCAACTTACCAAACCCATTCGCCACAGAAGAAGTACGGACACTGTTGTGCTGGTGGGGGATCTGAACGCACAAGTTAGAAAGTTGTCCACTGATGAACTGCATCTGGGCGGTCAACACGGTGTAGGCTCCCGTAATGATAACGGTGAGCCGTTACTTCATTTGTTTGAAGATACCCGCTTATATCTTGCAAGTACTAACTTCCGACACAGCACCCGCCGCAGGGTGACTTGGCGCCCACTAGCCTCGAACCAGCATTGGACGCAAATCCATCATATTGCAATCAGTTACCGCTAAAGAGGCTGCAAATATAGAAGTGTCACTCGATTTGGAGCACATGTGTGGACACCGAGCTTGCACTTGTATGTGCTGACCTGAGGATGTGTTTTGGCGGACGCCCAGGACGACGTCATGAGCGCATTGACACCAGCCATCTGACGAAACCAGCTGTTCTGAATGCCTATCAAAGTACATTGACATGCGCTCACCGGAGACACTTGAAAGTCACTGATCGCATGTACACCAGACCTAACTAACGGCAAGAAATTCCTCATGTGGTAAGTCTAATAGCCAACATGGACATTGGGTCTCTTCGCAGTCTCTGGAACTTATCGATGTTTGCCGGCACATTCCGGCTGGAAGCGAACACAATAAAACTCGCAAAGAGCTCCGGGCAAAACTCCGTGCTCGCCTGAAGAGAGACCGCGAATCCTGGTGATCTCTTCGTGCGTCAGAGATGGAAGCAGCCGCTGCCTTCGGTAACCATCGAAAATTATACAGTCTTATACGGGAAACGGGTAGCAAGAGACCAGTTGTTAGTGAAACAATTTATGACGTGAGTGGACGATAGCCTATCCACAATTTGTCAAAACATTTGGAGCGTTGGGCTGAGCATTTGGAAAAGCAATTCGATCGGCCGGAATTGTTCACTTCCTCAACGACAATTGATCGCCCTGCTCCGTGGGCTGTCCATTTGGATCCGCCCTCTCGCTCAGAAGTCAAAAGCGTGATTGGTCTGTTGAAGTTGAATAAAGCCGCGCGACCAGATGATCTTCATCCAGCCCTCTTCAAATTCGGCGGCTTTGCTGTTGTTTATGATTTACACGAATTGCTAGCGAAACTGTGGGAGCAGAAAACTGTCCCAACCGACTGGAGCCGCTCCGTTATTGTTCCCATCTTCAAAGGAGGCGCACGCTCAGAATACGGCAACCATAGAGGAATCAGTCTGATCCTCCATCGCCTCCAAATTACTTGCCTCTGTAATCCTTCACAGACGGACTGGCGTTCGTGAAGGCCAGATTCTTGAGGAGCAAGCCGGGTTTCGTCGAGGTCGTGACTTCATCGACCACATCTTCACTTTGCTTTATTTGTTGCAGCACCGTCACACATATTGGCTTCCTACTGTAGTCGTGTTCCTCGACATCAAAGGTGCCTTCGATTCGGTTGATCCATGTGCGCTTTGGGACTGTCTACTCAGGAAAGGTGTGCCTGAGAAATATGTACATATTATCTGAGCATTATACGCGCGTATCACGAGCAGAATGAGGGCTTCCGGTGAGCTATCGCCGCCCTTCAATATCTCCAGCGGTGTGAGACAAGGATGCCTGTTGTCACCTTTCGCCTTCAAGTTCGCTTTTGACCAAGTCATGGAGATTACATTTACAGGACACAACTTAGGATGTGTGGAGCTACTCCCAGGAGAACGACTTCTTAACTTGGAGTATGCAGACGACATTGTCATCACCTGTGACAGATCCCAGAAGTGCCAATCTGCACTGGACAAATTAGCGCTGGCTGTCAGCCGCTTCGCTCTTTGCTTTGCACCATCGAAGTGCAAAGATTTCCTCCAAGATTGGTAGGGATCGATTCCTGTGCTGAGCCTTGGTGGGGACCAGATTGAAATCATACAGAAATTCTACTACCTATGAAGCTGGATCAACGCCCTTGAGATTGAAGACGATATCACGAACCGTATAGCAAAAGCTCGAAGTGCTCTTGCTAACCTTCGCCACTTATGGCGGCGGTGCGATACCACTCTCTCCCTGAAACTTGGAGTGTACAATGCAGCGGTACGTTCGACCTTAGTGTACGCTTGCGAAACCTGGCCCTTTAGATCAGCAGACATAAAGAGGCCAGTTTCGTTCAATCTTCCTTACCTTCGCAATTTGACGAGTCAGCAACGAGCGTGTTCGACGCCCTGTTTACGGTACAGGAAAAGGAACTGAACCGCTCAGCACCGTTATTTTACGTACCAAGCTCCGATGGCGCGATCACGTGTTATGCATGCCAGCCCACCGACTTCCGCGACGTGCGTTGTTTGATCGCCGAGAGTGTGGATGGACGAAGAGTAGGGGTGGCTAAGCGATGACATGGTCGAGAGGATTGAATGCCATCACTTCAGAGTTGGCTTCGGTTGGAGCTTCACGGCTTCCTGACTGGGGTCCGAAATAGGATGAACACGTTTGGCTAGATGCACCTGCTGACATGACAAGGAGCGGACCTCAGTGGCGTTGGTGCTGTGAGTTTCATTTCCCTCCCCATCCCTTTTAGCCTTCCCCTCCAAGCACGATCCCATTTCATAGGATAATTTAATTTTACATCATACTTTTTCTTGTTGCCTAATATCCGGCTGCAAACTTTCCGGAACGATGCCCGTCCGTTGTTAGTGGCTCAGCTGACCTGCAATTGTTGTATTTATTTTCTTTTTCCTTTTATCTATTGGGGTACAGTAGCGGAGGTATTTTTATACCTTTAGCTGAGGTGTATAATGATGATGACGATGACGTTTAGCAAGCACACTTATGACATTCATTGATGGCTACAAAGCTGAAATATTTAAGTGTAGAAACGCTGTTAGATGCTACCCAAAGGTAGCTTCCGAGGATGGCTAAACTGACGAGAAAACTTCTTGACAAAAGCCAATGAAGAAAACAAATGGAACCCAGAAAATGGCAATACTCACTAGGCGCACATACATTACAGAAAAGTCGTAATAAACAGTGATAATAGGTAAAATGAAGAACAGGAGAGAAAACCACGGAAGAAAATGCCGGTTAGTTCAACAAACTTGCATGGGAGAGTCAACAACGAAGTGATTAACGTACAACAGCTATTGCCAAACATCGTGCCAAATGCGTGCTGGCAATGCATTTGATTATTATAAGCATAAGGAGAAGTATCCTTATGTACACATTATGTTATTTATACTCAACAAAGTAAACCGGATATCCTTACGTAAGATAGTACCCCACGCGCGCAGAGTAGCCACTCGAATTTGGAACCTTGCGGGTCAACGTGACTTGGCCGCCAGACTAACATGCGAGCTGAGACGGTAGTGTTCCCCATTCCAAATGTCAGTTAAATGTGTGTTCACACCAAGAATTTTATAGAACCTTCTTTATAATCTTTAGAAATACATACTGGTGGAACACGGCCAGCTGAGACTGGAGACGAAAAACGCGTGACCTAGCACTGCCGCAGTGAGACCCGAACGAAGCAGACTGACTGGCACATGATTTGTCGCACAGTGGTGGTGTCCTGAGGAAAACTCAGTTAGGGTCAATGTGGCTTTGTGCTGTAACTGCGGCACTGTACTGACGAAATTACAATAGGTTAATTGCAGCTTGCGCAATAGATGCACCAGTGTGCTGAGTAACGATCAGCTGATTCATTGTGGATAAACATCAAAGGACGAAGCGGTGGTTAGTTGCGCAGTCTAAGTCGCCGTGTGGTGATTGTATGTGAGCTGAGCCCGGCGAAATCTGCACAAGTTTGGCGGATCTATGCCAGCTCCGCCTGGATTTCCCACCTTCGTGAACAGACCCTTGCTCGCGCTTAATTCATTTCACTGACCTGCAGTTACCAAGGATGATTAATGCGTTAAAGTGTCAGAAAATCATGTTTAAATGAATTTTGTTATTTAGGAACTAGAACCCACTTCTCACAGCGCGGTTCCCCACGGCCTCCCTAAAATCGTTCTCATCGCAAGGTCCCCGGGAATTTTCTATGACCCCCAGGGGGGCATATAGCCCCGTTGAGAATGGTTGGTCTAGGCGCATGCCACAGCTTTGCATAAGCGTTTGACTATTCGTCTTTCTAGGTCTTTCTTTGAAAGTGCATTCCCACTGTACACCAATGGATCCGTCCATAACCACGCTACCCCTACCTGCACTCAATTCTCTCTGCAGCGATCTAGGACACAGGTGATGGTGGAGACAGATAAATTTATTATAATTGACCTTTGTGCTGCATAGCTGGCTCTGTTGATGTGTTAGCGTGGTGGGTGCGGTTGTTTTATGGTTGGCTACACGTACATTGAAGGACGAAAACACCATGCACGGTAAATGTTTTATAAAAATAATGGGAATATTTTTATGCATAAACTAACTAACTCGCTTGCGAGGCGCAACGTTGGAACACTCCATACGTCAGAGTTGTACCACAATTTTTGCAGGCTGTTAGCCATTTTCATTTAGCAGAAATTGAGTGTTACATAGTTGCTTCGTCAGAATTTCCCTCCATAAATGAACTACTCCATTATTGCAGTGTGCATCACACATTCCGCTGAAGTTGCTTTGTCAGTGTGGGTGTTACGATTAAAACGCTGTCGTTGAGCCACGCGTAACAAACCATTTCGAAAAGTTCGAAACACAAATTTTATCCAATCTGTGCGGTGCTATTTCTATAACATTAATTACACAAAACAACGAACCACAATTTTAAGCGTTCTTGGTTAGCAACAAATGCGTTAGAGAAACGCTCAACAAGTGGGTATCCTCGTCTATTTGTCAACTGTCAAAAATGTTTGTGAGTCGCACTGGATTACATGGCCGATATCGTGTGTGGACACATGCTCGGTGATTGTGGTCTGGAATGCGACACACCCCGGTGCATTGAGTGTCACATTAGGCGAACAGGGTGAAGTACCAAAGGCCGTCTGGTGAATTGGGTCGATAGAGGTCATTGGGCGTTCACACACACAAAGGGAAGACGGAAAAGTGAGGACACTTGCACACGTAAACATGCACACACACACAACGCGCATGATTTGGCCTCGGGCGTCCGGAGTAGACAAATGTTTAGGTAGGGGCAAGTTCACACAATGAACAACGGTTGATATCAATCGGAATGCTTGCACCCTAACCTCGAATACGAGCTGCACGACAAGCGCAGAAAGTTGTTAGAGTAGAATACACACTGTACGCGCGCACACACACAGGTCAAGTGTGGGGATGGTAGGAGAATTTTCTGGCTAGTTAATCACGTTACATTGGGATCGAAAATAGATAGATGCCGTTAATTTTGGCAAGCTCACTAAGAACTGTTATACTTCTACCTTTTAGCTCACTGACGCTCCTTACTTCAACCACTTATGTGGTTTGCCAACCTGTTAGTATTTCTATTGCCAACCTGCAGGACTCGTTAAGTGCATGCTTTTTTACCCGTCATATACCATTGTTCCATTGTTACATTGGGATCGTAAATAGATAGATGCCGTTAATTTTGGCAAGCTCACTAAGAACATTAGTATTTCCGTCATGTGAAACCGATCGTGGCTAGAGATGCCAACAATGACACATGCACTGCTTACTTCTCCGACTGCAAACTTGTCAGCTGTAGCTAAAGCTCTGTCTACACCTTAGTTCGTTGCATCATTCCCCAAAGGTTTGCATCGGTCACGCTTGAAGCTACATCGCGTGCGTCATGTGACACGTTGCACGTGTGCACTCCTATGTGCCATACCCATGGCCTGTGTTCGTGAAGATCACGTGATCGCGTTGCCATCCCCTGCACTGGTACCGTGACTAACATCGCAGTGAAGTTAACTCCGTAGGCACGCCAACTTGAGTGGAACCGCGCAGTTAGTACAACAGCTTGCTCTGTTCTGAATGTCAAAAAGTTGCTTGTTCGCAGCCCTCGGCGGAGAAGAGTAGTACTTATGAAGGGACGCAACTGGAAGAATTTTGCACACATACAACGTAAACGTGATTACCTGCCGGAGGAATTCCACGCGGTGAACGCCCTATGGTGAGAGATTAAAAAAGCTTAGTTTTTTCATCTCTCCACATGCCCTGTCTCCCTTCGGCCTCTAATTGTAGCAGTGCCAAAACATAAGCTTTCTCAGCATTTTCTTCTCGTGTGTTGGCTGATTGCGGCGCTGCTCTCAACTTCTCCATGATAATCAGCCGTTCATTCGAGTTTCGTGCAATTGTGCCCACGCTATCCCCTGTTTAACTCCGCCTTCAACCGCAGATGTAGTGTTTGCATACTGACCGTGTGTTCGTTCAAAACCCATTCTACCAGGCGATCAATCTGGCTGTCTGTCAGAGACTTTCGGCGTCCCCCAACACGCTTTTCTGTTTGTCCGGTTGATTTTAGACATTTTATCTACGATAGGTAATCTGGTTTACGTTCAGTATGTGTGTAACATGCTTCCAGCTGCGTCCCTATTCATAAGTACTATATTCTTCACCTCAGCCCAGTGCCACGTACGAGTGTCTTTATGTGACATTAGGAGTAGAGCAAGCTGTTGTACTAACTGCACGATTCCACTCAAGCTGGCGTGCCTATGGAGTTAACTTCACCGCTACACTAGTCACCGTATCAGTGCAGTCGGTGGAAAAGCGGTCACGCGATCTTACGTCGCGAACGCAGTTCCTGAGTACGGCTCATACGAGTGCACACGTGTAAAGAGTCATATAACGCACGCGATGCAGCTTCAAGTGTGACGGATGGAAACATTTGGGTGAACGATGGAATGAATTGAGAAAAAGTACACTTGGGTGCGGATCGTAAGCCAAGAAAATTTTTGGTCCTACTGTAGATAGTTTTAATTTGGGCTGACACTGTTTGAAGAACTTCTTTTCTCAACTAGTGCATACTTTGTCCTTGTAGTAAGCTTTTATT